GGGGGGGTTCACTCCCCCCTGGCAACTGTGGAGTCCCTGGGGACGGAGCCGGGCCGTGGGACTGTTCAGCGCCCGCTGTGTGCGAGGGAGGACGGTGCCCGCCGTCTACCGCCCTTCCCCTTTCTGCTGCCTGTTTGTGGGGCCCCCGGAAAGAGGCAGATGAGATTCCTGAGCGACGGGTACACCACGTTACTTCATGGGATCGTTGCCGTCCAAGTCACCGGGAGGGCTGTCAGGAGTGAAATCATCAGTCAGTAGTAGAGTAAGAGTTTTTAGGTAGTAGTAACTAGATTCGCTTCCGGGAGATGTTCCACTTTCTAAGGATATTTCCCCCCCTATTTAAGTATAAATGTGCATACCTAAGAAAGTGTTTATCTCTTTTTAGCCTATGGTAGATATGAATAGGAAGCATGTTGGCTGATTTTTAGGAGCATTTTCAGATGGACAAAGAGTTTGTAGATAGACTCATCAGTAAAGCGTGTCTATCTTTTTTTGTAAGGATCACTATATTGAAGAATGTCTGGAAGTTTCTACTTTGTGATAGTTGGTCATCATGATAATCCCATATTTGAAATGGAATTTCTGCCTCCCGGAAAAGTAGAGTCCAAGGTGTGTTTTTTCCCCTGTGATACTCCTATGATGTAATTATGGTGCATTTGCTTTAGTAATTTTACAGTGTCTTAGAAGCATGCCCATGTTTTTTTTAAAAATTTTTCTAGTATCCACTGTTTTCTTTTTTTTTTTTTTTACAGAAACTTTGTCATAGGGAGTAGAACTCTGGAGTTCTTGAGTCTCTTACGAATTCTTTGCCAGATCATACTAGTTCTTCATAAAATATGGTTTCCTTAAATGTTTGATGCTGTATGGTGACGAATATGTTGCTCTTAGTGTGTAGCGCTTTTATAATAACTGTTCATTATCTAATGCTATTTACTGTTACTTTCTATTTTAAGGCATCTGTATACAGTAATAAGGTAAAGTAAGGAACATAAATTTGAAAGCTCTAGTCAGTCCTTTATTTTTTATGCTATAAAGAAATCTTACTTCTTAATCGTATTCAATAGTCATGCTTGCTTTTAAGTGAGAAAGGTTTAAAACTTGTATTGATAAATATGGGTTTGGGAATGAGTAGTCTTACATTTCTTACAATAAGTATTGTTTCCAGTGGGAAAAGAATAAATCTATCCATTGTGATATTACATCAAAGAAAAAATAGACCAGAAAAAAAGTGTGTGGATCTGTGAGCATGTCCAAAAATGGAAGTATATGCTGTCACTGATTTGAACAGCATGACGTCATCTGTATTTTGAACTACTGTCCCACAAAAAAATCATAAATAAGACTGGTTGGACTAGAGTCGGTGAGTGTGAGGATGTGTCAGATAGTGGAAAAATTCATTTTCTGCATTATGCTAATGGAATTAACTTGGCTTGAGTAAGCTTCTTGTCTGACTGAGGTTGAAATACTAACTTTTCTCCTAAGAGAGAATCTAAACTTGATGTGCACTGAAGGAGAGCTGGTAGACATTGATATGTTTTGGCAACTATCGCTTCTGTTTCTGAGACATGCCATTTAAGAGTGAATGCAGTGCAGATGCACAGCTGCCTGAAGTAAATGGTTCACATAACATACATGGTAAATCAGCACAAGCTTTTGCCCCTTAAACTTCACTACTTAGTCTCTTCCTCAGTATGGTTTAACGGAACTTGCAAAGGTGTTAATGCCCTGAGCCAAACTTGATTTGGGGGAAAATAGTGCACTGAGAGGTGTGAGAGTGGCGTTAATAGCATCCCTGTATTTTGAGAAACAGTGCAAGACTATTTATGTTTCCAGTCTAATAGAAGCTTACAGTATGGTTTAGTCCCATGTTTCTTCTTGGCAGATGTCCTCCGGTGTTCTAGTTAGTATATAAAGTAAATGGCTCCTTCCCCACACAACTCTTGTAGCGTTAGGGTCAAGCACTGTGATCACTCTACGAAGGCCATTTGTGTTTATTATAGGAATAGGTGCGATTTACATCTGCAAGCATATATTTAATGCCAATTGCAGGATGTTTTTCTGCACTAGGCTTAGGAAGAAGAAACCCCCCAAACAATAAAACCATCCTATGTTTCTAAGCAAATAACCTGAAAAAACAGAATCTTTAGGTGATAATGTTATCGGTATGTCTGTCCTCTGTATCTCTCTGCTTTCCCCATCTGTCCCTCAACTTCTACACATTGTAACCTATTGTTCAATTCTGCCAAATTTGACAGAGACGTTATGGTCCAAAAAATGCTAAATTGCTGTAAATGTCACAAAAACAGGTGACTGGAAAGCAGAGAAAAAGACTTTTATCAGGGCCTCTGTTGTGGAACAAGTTTGCAGTGGGAGATTACCCATTGATAGGCAAAAGAATTCACACTTGAATTAATTCCTGAGCTGTAAATATAGGCTTTATTGGTTTTGCTGCTCTTAAGACTGTTTTTGTGATGACCTTTTTATTATGACCTTTTTTCTCCCTTGAAAGCAAGTATCGTGACAATATATACTAGTTTCATTTAATTAAAGGGTGGCACATACGTGGCAGAAAATAAGGGTATATATAACTGTACGTAACTTGAGCACTAGTTGTTCAGCAGCTTGAGCAAATTATTGTTTGTATTTCACTCCTTTCACTGAATTACTAATCCTTTGTCTTCTGGAAATGTATTAGGATGATCATCGCCATCTCAACCAGTTCATTGCCCATGCTGCTCTTGACCTAGTAGATGAGAACATGTGGCTTTCTAACAACATGTATCTGAAGACTGTGGACAAGTTTAACGAATGGTTTGTTTCTGCTTTTGTCACAGCTGGACATATCCTTCCCAATTCTCTTTCCTTATATTTATATAGGAAAAGCCTTTTGCCAGAAAGGGTTAAGTCAGATGAAATGAGTTTGGAACAGATTTCTCTGGCTATTTACCACTCTTATTGTTAGAGAGAGTCACCAGCTTCAGAATGAAGTTGGGAGGCAGAGCAGTCATGGGACCAATTGGAAAGATGGATTTTTCCTTTTGGAGGAGCTGGAATAGCCTAATGAAATGTGGAGCTCAAATGGAATAGAGGAAAGAGGAATGAGAGGGGAATAGTATGAGAGGGTCTGAGCGAGCTTATGTGATTCTCTGTTCCCATCCCTTTGATCGTGCTAGAGAGGAGAAGCAGGGATCAACATGCTTGGTGTCAATCACACCCATCTTGAAAATGTGGTGTCGAGGCTTGATCTTAGGTGCAGATAGTCCTAGAAGTGTTTGTTGTGAAACATTTGTTATACATAGGAAGTAACACTGAATGTCATTTTAACTTCAGGGGTATATGGCAAAGGTGCCAAGAGCATCGTCCACATTCAGAATTGTCTAGCTTTAAAAAGAATAACCTTGAATAGAGAGGTGATTACTTCTATTTTCAGATAGGGGAATTTTAAAATATAAAGGTAATGCTTTCTAAATTTCACTGCTCCAGTTACTTCTTTTAATGCTTCCTCCTATAGTAACTGCTATTTCATGTACAGCTAAACATTTTAAGTATGTGCAGAATTAGGTGTAAATGCTTATCTCAGGATATGTTAAATGTCTCTTCTTTGTAAAAGTTAAATTTTCCTTAATTTCTTTACATATGAGATTTATAATGCTTCATGACATAAGGCAAGAAGACGGAATTAAGAATTTCTTTAATGATGTATATGACTTGTACATAAAGGTAAGAACGCACTTCTTACGGCCTCACTGCAGTACTTTTAAGTGTGTTCTGGCATGCCCGTATTAGCATGTTCTCTTGTGGGGGCATATGTAGGTGGGGAAGCACCCATGCAGGCCACATTAGCCAGAGTTGATAACGTGACATGAAGGCTGCATTTTCCAGTAAACAGAATAAGTTTTTCTAAATTGTTATAAACTGGGCTCTTTCAGAATTTATTCTTCATTTCAGTCCAGTGATTTTTGGGCAGTATTGTGTCATTAATGGTAGTGTAATGGTTAAAGCAAAGGACTGTTCTACAGAAGCCTGGTCGAGGTGCTTCGCTCTCAGAACCCGTAGCCCGTGTTCTCACAGCCTGGCGGTACTTCCACTAGATGGGGCAGTCGCAAGCACTGACTGGGAGATGGCCATCTCGGCCTCCTACAGGGACTCAAATGATGCTAATTTCCAGAACAGAAATTTCCACCAGTGTCACGATGGATTTGTTCTGAGGAGCTGGTACTAAGGGATGGCTGTGCACATATATGGGGAGAATGCAAGGGCCTGGAAAGCAAGTGACTGTTTAGGAGCTCCGTGCTCTTAAGTGGTGCCAATAGGCTGAAAGCTAATAGTAGTTGTCATCTGAAGTAACATTTTCCAGTGCTGGCCATTGCGCTTATTGATGAGTTTTTCTTCTTTCCTCAGTTTGCAATGAATCCATTCTATGAACTCAATTCTCCTATTCGATCCAGTGCCTTTGAAAGGAAAGTACAGTTCCTTGGGAAGAAACACCTTTTAAGCTGAATAAATAACTTTCCTGAGTGAGTGCTTTTTCCATACTTCCCTGATTATTTGAACTGTAGTTCTTCTGGTTAGTTCTCAGCATGTTTGATATTCACCTTTCTGAAGATTGACAAATTGGATGCTGAAGGTTTGGGGTTTTTTTCCCCGATATGGATAAGAACAGTCAAGCTTCTCTGGTTAAAATGTGTATCTTAAGAAGTTTCCTTTTATGTGTTATGAAAACTAAGTTTAAAAATGTCAGGGGCTGAATAGGTACAAACTGAGACATGTGGGTGTCAATGCGTATGCAAAATGTAAGTCTTTTATACAGGGTGGGAGGAAATTGGATCTAAACACAGACGACCTCTCCAGTCATGTGATTTAATATGAGCAAAAGGGAATTCTTGACTGTTTGGCCTAAGTGGCTAATTTTGTTATAAACCTTTCTGCTTGAAGTCCTTTGCTAGAGAACTTACTCTGCAGACTAACCAGACTAACTTTACTCTTCATGGTATTAAATCAGGTCTATATTAATATTGTAATGTGCAATGTATGTATTATAAAGTGCTAAATAAAAAGAAAAGAGGATATGTCAGCAAAGGTTTGTCTTCAGTATTTCAGGAAGTTTTGAGAAAAAAACTTTGTTTTAAGGCTTAAAATTGCAAATTTAAGACGTTTAGTGCAATACATGTTTAGCTGCAGTGTTGCATCAATGAAATGAATTAATAAAGTAGACCAGAACAGCTATGTCTGCCCTGACTTTAATTCTAATTAACACATGGAAAAAAACTAAACTAAATTTACATGCTTAAACCCACTTCTTTCCATTATCTCTGCAAGTGCTGAAATTTTCTTTTTGAAAATATATTTAGTCGAGGATCTTTGAACCATGAAACCTCAACTATTTGTTGAGGTTTCAGAAAGGCATTATTTGGCTGGTCTGGCTACTATTCCGTTGTAAAATGTGGTTAGGGACCCTTTTGCAAAACTTACCATCATTCCAAAACAGTCATTTTTAAATGGGTCATTTGGCATATACGTACCTAATATTTTGGTTGGTTTCACAATGTTTTAAGTAGTCTGTTTCCTTTTGCAGCAAATCTGTATAAGCTATTTTCTCAGACATTTTTATTAAATGTCTGAGAAGTCATTTCCCAAAGGAAATTCCCAATGGGAAGTAATTCCCATTCCCATGCTGTTCTAGGAAGTACATTTTGCATAGTCTGTATAATTAAAGGGACCACACATATATGTGCTTTAAATGTATAGTCAGTCATTATTTCTTTGTAATTACACTTACTGCTAAACTGTCACTGTAAAATATTCCATGAGAAAAAGAACAGGATATAAAGGTTGCAATATTTACCTTAAATAAAACGTGGAACGATGCAGTATGGATGCCTGTTGAGTATACTTGAAATGATTTAGAAGAAAACTAGATGATCGCGGTAAGGCTACCTTTATTGGCAGGGTGGCACGTGAAGATGGGAATACTTGTCTTTGCAGTATTATTTCATTAAAACTGCCTTGTACAGCATTTTGATAATGTCATGCAATCTTATGTAAACCAACTGAGGTTGTTGGTTTTGGTTTTTTGCTTTATACATGAAAGCAACAGAAACACACCTGAGGTAAAGTATTCTCATTCGTATGATAAGGAACCATTAAGTTGGAGCTGTTCTGCTTTCTGCCTCCTCCCCAGTAGTGGTGGTTGGAAAAATACTAACAGTTAAGATTCACTGAGGAAATACTTATGTTAAATAATCATATACGTGGCAGTAAGAAAAGTTTTGGCAAAGATAAAAGATTAGTGCTGAGTTTCCACCACGCTTAGAAACTGGTTTTTTTGATAATTGTCTTTTCTGCCAGCACACACTAGGAAGCTATGTAAAATAGAAGCATTTTATCTGTTGCCTGATCTCGGAAAGCAGTTAGCTAAATGGTGCCTGTTCTCATGCCCCCCATGCATCTTTCCCCTTTTCTTCTGAATATAGGAATTGTAAATGGGAAATGCAGTCATCTCATAGGTCCATCTAGGCTTTATGAAAACAGATTGTTACTGGCCACAGGAAAGGCAGAATTACATGCTAACTCATTACATTAATCATTATAGAGTTTGCGATGAGGAACATTGTCTCATGACAGAATTCTGAAGGACCTAATACTTGAGGTACACGAATACTTGAAATAAATCAGTGAACTGAAACATAAGCCACAATTACCTCCGTATTGAATGACAGATACTAAGCTTTCAAAAAGTACAGAAATGCGTATTTGTTATTAAGTATTATGATGATAGGTACCAAAAAAAAACCTTCATCTACATCTGCTTTTCATAGGACTTTTGCTTCTTTCAAGTACTTGATAGTCTCCCTCTCAGGCCAAATCCTGACCTCAACATAATTCCTATACTGTCTTATTTGCTATAGCATGTAACCCCCCCTTTATCTTCACTAGCCACTTTTGTGATTAGTGTACAGTTGTGGTACAGCAGCTCCCAGGGCACGAGTAATACACTTCTACTGTATTATGTTTTATTTAACCTACTTCTCAGATGGAGGCTTGGTAACCACGATGTTACATGGAAAGGGGGCAGATGGGAAAACACAGATGGACTCTTAGGCACAAGAAAGACCACAATGGTTCTCATCCTTAATTGTTTCCTTTTAGCAATCTTATTTGAATCACATCTACAGTACTCCAGTCACAGTAACTTCATCTCCTGTTTTGTTTCAACCTTACCTTTGCTAAAAGGAACATTAAAGGAAGCTTTAAGTAGCAAGGTAGTAGTGTTTTACAACAATTTCATGTCACTAGCTTAGTAGCCCCCAACGCAAGCAATCTTAGTTTTTAAAGCTTTTTGCTCTCTCAGCTTAAGAGGAATTTAGCGAAGATTTTCTTCACAGATCTTTTCATCCATTGCCTAGAAATTAAACGTAACAGAAGTAGCAGCTCAACCTATATTTAGCTGTTAGGTGACTGCAGCTTAAAACACAGTTCTATTGCTGAATATGCAGGACTGTAAGAATGAATCAGAATATACAAGAGGTGAAAAGATGTCAGTTTTAAGCAGGAGCAGCAGATCTATGGAGTAAAGTTGTCCTGGACAGGTTCAAGCAAGAATACAGTACATTCAGAAAAATGTATTAAGAGCAACAAGAAGGGTTTGTTTTGCAAGCTTTACTTCCAAATAATTACACCTGGTACAGAGTGAGCAGATATGTTCAGAGAAAACTCTTGTTGTTACTGTACTCTCCAGAAAGGCTTTTCTATTGGAACAAAGGAGTTGCTGTACAGAAAGCAGAGTCCATGTAGTTTAGCAAGTAACATGGCCTGTCCTATAGGCCTCAGACTTCCTTTTGAAGTCCACAATGTGTGTACGTGCATGCCTGTTAGCAGTCAGATTACACATTGAAGCAATAGTGCACTATCAAGTTTGCTATTACAAGGACAGTGGGTACTCTGAGAGCCAACATTCAACAACTTCTCATACAAGTATTCTACCATTTAACTGCAACGGAGAGCCTCAAATACTCCTTCTGTGGTTTCTTCTGCATTACTGAAGAAAGACTGTTCATTAAATATAGAATTTGCTTCTGTTCATCATCGTGTAATGAGTACAGTAATATAAAAGACATTGTCTTAAATTTGTAAGTCCTTATCCTAAAATAGCAAATTAAATAAGGATCAAATTCAGCTCAAACACTAGCTGTAGGTATTTACTTGTATTAGGGCTGAAAGCTGTCACAATCTACTGCAAGTCAAGAGCTTCCTGAGTTCTCCACGTATTGCCAATCCTTAGTTTCACAGTGCAGAGATTACTGGTAAACACATTCATAGCTCAGGTTAACAGGAACAAGAAGTTTGGAACTTTAAGGCTGTATGCTAAAAGTTCTCCTACAAGTTTGTCATAATGTGGATCCCTTCAAGTGCTATTAAAGCTGACTGGATAAAGCACATCTTTTTCATAACTAAAAATGGTTATACTTCAGTTACTCAGATTTTTTTACCTGATTGATCAGAAATATGCTAGAATGGGACTTAAGGCAAAGACATGTATTAACTTAAAAAATCATCAGTATCTTGCATTAAACTGCTGGAAAAGCTAGTACAGTATTAGAATAGTAAGTTAAAGGAAAATGGACATTAAATATGTAGGAGATTTATTTCCTACTTAAAAACCTACACAAATTATAGCAACATCAGGCAATTAGAGAAGACCTGAAGGTAACTTATATTAACCTATAATAAACACATCAGAGATGAAGTACCACTCACAACAAAAGGAATGTAGTGAGACTGAAGTTTAATATCTAACATTGTTAAGAAACTGACTTCTAGTGAAACAAAAATGGAATGCTGATTTCATAAAAATATACACATATAAAAGTATCTTTGTGTCTGAATTCCAGAACAGTTTCTCCAAAGTAGTGCTTCTAGAACTTTCAAGTTTTAATTATACTCAAAGTATTTATCATTTGAATAAAGTTGGCAAATTACATTCTTATATTGATGTTTTTACTTGACACCTTCCTAAACAGAAAGTGTCACTAATTCAGTAATGGGTCACTCATGAATGGAATTTTTTCTTTTGCTCCCCCAAGAAAGCAGCAGAATATTACAATTCTAATATTAGAGTGAAACCCATTTGTTATTTTATCTACTACACCTTCCCCATCCTTTTATAGAGCAAGCTAGTCAAAAGTAATTTGGCCAAAAAAAAATTTAAGTCAACAACAAGATGAACTGGGTTTTGGTTTCCGATGAAGGTTTACTGTATCTGTTTGAATAAAGTGATCTGATCTATCTTCAGAGGCTAGAACTCTTCTAACCGCTTCTTCAAAGGCTGCTGCAACATTAGTGGCATCTTTTGCACTGGTTTCAAAATAGGGATGGTTGCCATTATTCCTGCACCAGTCTTGGGCTTCTTCTGTAGACACTTGCCTTTCATCGATATCAACTTTGTTACCCAGTATCACAAACGGAAAACTTTCAGGCTCCTTGACATCGGCATAATAAATGAATTCTTTCTTCCAGTTGCTTAAGTTTTGGAAGCTCTGAGAGTCATCCACGCTGAAGGTTAGCAGGCAACAGTCAGAACCTCTATAGAAAGGAGTCCGCAAGCTCCTGAAACGTTCCTGACCTGCTGTGTCCCATATCTGCATTGTAACAAAATGTCCATCAACTTCCAACTCTTTATTTAAGAATTCCACACCTATTGTATGAAACAGCTGTGCATCGAACTTGTTGGTGACGTATCTGTTCATAAGGGAACTCTTCCCAACTCCACCGTCTCCTAGCAGTATTACTTTAAGGAGTGATGATTTTGCTGCCATTGTTACGGGAATAGATCCTCCTGGTTTCCTAGACCTGTAAAGATTAAGAAAATCATTAAAAAGGAAAGGGTTGCAAGCAGAAAATTTTACACATGTAAATATCTAGAAAGTGTTAAAGTCCACCAACATCAAGTTTCATGTACAAAAGCAGGAGGACTATGCTAAACAGGTAAAGCATAGATACTTGTAGTAAGAATACCCACTCAAGAATATCACGTCTTTAAGAGGCGTCTCTGCCACAGACTGCAGTCTGTACAGCAGTCTAAGCAGTACACTGCATGAATTACTGGTCTGTCACTTAAAACCCCCAAACCCTCCAATGTTTGTGCAGAAGAGGCATTGCATCACATTCAACGAGGGCAACAATTCACTTATGTTGACTGAAAAAGATCCATGGAAGAAAGCGGAATGAGATGATTTTATAGAGCACATGCCTTGAACTAGTCACTCTTCAGTGCTGTATTTCATTAGCAAAGTTATTTTTTAACATGCAAAAGCAAAGAGGAAACTTTAGGAATAAAGCAGGACACTATCTGTTATACTGGAAAAACTGCTGCACTTCACCCAAAATTGCAACCAGACAAGGAATTTTAAATCAACTCACAGGGAACACGGTTACCGACAGAACAAATGCAAATGCTGTAATTTTATGTCAAAATTCAGGTGACTAGGTATTGGTACACAAACATTCAGTATTTTACGGTTTACTCCTTGAAGAACAGCCGTGATGAATGGAATACTATTACAACTACTACAAAAGCAAACTCACTGTTGCTACTTCAAATGGCACTCAAGATGCCAAATACCGAGGCCAAGCCTACACTGACAGTTCAGTTAGTAGGTGTCAACTTCCCATGGTAAAACTGTCAAAAAGCCTGGAAGTGCTAGTGAAGGGCCTGGCTGCCAGCACAGGGATGGTGAATTAGTGGCACCAATGAAGCTTTTTTACTGTCGGATTTTAAAGGATTATTATTTTTTTAAAGCAGCTAGCTCATTAGTGTTTTGTGCCAGCCCAAGGTTGGCCCTCATTACAGTAGTGTCATCTAATACTGTAAGAAAGTGTTTTAACTGCTTGGGGGTAAAGTTTCATTTTAAAGAGCCCAAACTTAAGTTTCCGTATGAGGGAAAACTGCTGTTCCTATGTACCTACCCATTACTAAAAGAGCTCAAAGAAATTCATCCAAGTTAGGCTTCTCTGAAAATAGCATCTATTTAAAATGGAAATGGGTCATAAGTTGCCTAGTCCATCTCCTTCTCTGAAGGAAGGAATGCAGTCTTGCTAGTTGTAATTAGCATTACCGGCATATACATCACCCACAGAGTATGGTTATGGAATTAATACCTGATACAAGCTGGTGTGAGAGTCATATGACTCTGCTGCCTTAGAATCAAGGCCTACATTAGAAGCAAGAAATTTCAGGATTTTTTTTGTCTTTAACTTTCCATCTTTGAATGTTTATTTGTTTGTTAGACAGAATCTACAGCTGAAGCCTCAACACAAAGAAGTTTCAAAATATAAGGACCAGTGGCTGCTTCCATTAAAAAATTGTTCAGAGCAAGTAATTTTATTCATCCATACTGTGTAATTAAAAACAATGTTTATAAATCCTTAATATTTCTAAGGGTTTGCATCACAACAATGTTAAAACTGCTTAAGAGCTACAAGTGGATTGTTCATTTACCTTTCACAGAGCTATGGGATAATTGCTATGCCTCAGGATATGAACACGTACTTTTTTAAGTATGTGGAAAGCCTTATTAGAGTCACCAGCCTAATTGCATGATTTCCACATTTGTGCTGAAATATTTAAAATGGTCCTACTATTAGTTAACGAATAAGTTATTTGAGCTACACCATTAGATAGTAACATCTTCTTAATAAATAATGCATTCATGAGAACAGAGGGTACTGAATGTTTCTCTGTTCTTCCACTTCAGTGTAGGAACAAGTTACAATTTTTTTTTTTTTTGGTCCTACTGAAATCCCAAGTTCCCTAGAAGACGATGTGAATAAAAAACTGACTTATGTAGTTCCGACTAGTGCTATGCACCTGTTTCTTTAGCTTCTGCAGTTTGAAGAACTGCAGTTATTATCATGAAATTTTCCATGAAGCCACATTTTAAACAAAATACAAGTAAGGAAACTGCTAACAGTATCTAGTACTTTTGTGCATCCAGAACCTGAGAAGTTAATTTGCACAATTTCAACTACATGGACCACTACAGTAAGGTCTAGGAGACTGATGACCATAAAAATACTTTCACTGGGCGGACAATTATACATCAGCCACAAACCATTAAAAGTGCCTTTTCAACTAGAACCAAACTGTTCCTTCTACACAAAGGCTATGGAAGCAATCTTCCCAGGACTGATAAGCAAGTATCTCAACGTGACATTGCAGGCAACGTCACTCTTCAGGACATTCAGCTTCCACGGTAGCAGCTGTCATGCTTAGCTAGCAGTTAATGTTTTTGTAAAGTTTTTAATCCAAAATAAATAGGATATATGTTAAGTCATTTAAGTACATACTTACAAGCTGGATCTGAAAGAGCAAAGAAGGATGTTTAAAGGCATTAAGAAGCATTTTTGTTTGGAAGCAGCAAAGACTTTATACAGTTACAGGTTTTTTGACTATATAAGAGACTCATCTGCAGCCCCACTGATTACGTGATTTAGAGTATCTGCAGAACCAGGATGGTCATTTTCAGCACAGGCTGCTGCATTTTTTCCGCTTACACTTCTTTAAATAAATTAAGATTTTTAAAAAGCTCAATTTTTGTAATTTTTTTCATACAGTTATGAAGCCTTAATACTCCAACAGATAAAGTAACAATAAAATCCTTAAGATGCCTGGAGAAATAATGTTATTTCTCCTATTACATACTTTGAACTTATCTGTATAATGTGCTTTTTGACAGTGTTTTTGGAAGGAACAGTCAACATCCAATATCATATTTCTGAACATTTATTACCTTAATAGTTCAGTTTAAATCATCATTCAGCATCTGAAAACAAAACCTTAATTTCCAATGTGCATCTGATTGTTTTAACCAACATCAGGAACTACAAAACACCACAGAACTACAGATAACTATTTGTTCCAGTTATTTCTTACATTAAATTAATTGTGCAGCACAGTAAGAGTAGTCTCAACCTAGTACATAGAGGAGTCTATAAGGAGAAGATTCTTCCCTCATCTTCTATTATTTCAATATTCAAAGAAACTCAGAGCAAATAAAAAGCAGCCCCACTCTGGCCCATTTTGATAACCATCTCTGAATTGCCTCTACCAACTTATAAGGACCCAAACTCTTAAGACCACCGACTTCAATATTCCTGTTAAAAGCAGGGAACGGTTTCTACTAAGTGCCATTTCTAACATGATCATATACCATAATACAAATAGTAATTTAATTGTCACCTCCCAGAATCTCCCTTTTAAACAGTGCGCTGAATTACAAGTCTGAAACATTTCCATTAGCAGTCCAAACATTTGCTGGCAAGACTAAAAACAACATGCTAAGCAACTTAAAAAAAAAAAATCAGTGTGCATTACAAAATCTTTGATTCCCAGCCCCTCAAAGCTTAGAGAAACACCACTGCCTTGTCCAATCTATGCAGCTAGATTTTCTTAATTCCATGACTGTCAGCTTCATAGCTGCCTTTTTGAGTGCAATTATCTCTTCTAACACTTAGCTACTGATGCAGCACTCAAAGAAAAGCAAGATTCTTGGTCTAGAAAACCATAGCAGAAACACACAAACTCAGACTAGGAATTTGTCTTGTTTTACTATAAAAATAATTTAATAGATAAAAATAATTTAATAGATTAAGGAGGACCTGCTTATACCAGAGTACTGAAGGCTGAAGAGAGCTGCTGAAATCACATTATGTCTATGGAAAAATACTGTTAACCAACATGGTAATTGCATTGTATCTATGACGTCAGCAAGCACACTTAAACTATTAAGCAAACCAAGTAAATCGGACCAATTTATAGTTTCACTTTTACCATACTGATAGCAGGCACAGCAGCACACCATAAAAAAAAAAACCCCAACCACATATAGAAACTGAAATCTCACCTCCATCCAGCCCTTTTTAATTAAAGACACCAAAAACTGGAACTGTTGCAATAGCACCACTGCATTCCCTCTAGTATTCTTGAAGAAACAGATACAAGGGACACTTCAAATTTCCAGACTATCGTTTCTCCATTTGTACCTACTTTCTAACTTGGAAACAGGCAAGAAAATTTTTTTCTAACACCATTTTCAGCCCGTGGTCACTGATGAACCACCTGCTATACAAAATCAAGACTAAACCCAAACGTTTCCTTGAGGGTATGTGGTACACTGTTCTTTAACTAAAGTTGTTGAAGAGCACCCATTTGACTTGGAGAAGGAAAAAAATCCAAGGTAAGGCAGACTCAAGTTTGTTCCAACTAATCACATTTATTTACAGCCTAATCTGCTTTCAGCCAAGACTTCTTAAAAAAAGGGCCATCTTTGTTAAAGATTTAAGAAAAAAAAACACTCGAAGTTACTTGACAAGCAGAATTAGCTGTTCCATAACTAGCATAACAATAACACTGACCATGTTTTGTAACTTCCTATCCTCAAATTTACACATATACAACACATCCATTTCAGCTTTGAAGCTTATTCACAATTCTTTGCTAAGCCATCTTACTTTGTTAAACCACAGGTATCGGACATTAATAGTTTAAGGCGGCACACAAACACTTCAAGTATTGAAGTAGACACACCACTCACCTTTCAATAACATTATGTAAACTTACTCCCTCATTAGTAATTTTTTTTTCTTAACACTAACAAAGCATTCAACAGTATCTACCAGGCTAGCATAGAAAAAAGTTGTTTCCTGTGGTTTGTTAATTGCAGTGGCTCATCAAAAACTGACATAAATTGCTTCTCTGGGAAGTGTCTGCAAAACAGTCCCAAGAACTATCAGAGTCGCAGCAGCAGGGGCAGAATCCAGAACTATGTAAAGTAGTTTTCAACACTTACACTTACTGTTTGTGGAGTTTTTACATCTCTCAGCCCTCAATCACTACAGAGTAGTTAGACTTGTCACCTACAGCAGAACTGCAAGTTTCCAGAAATCTGAGAAGAAAGGACAGAAGCAAGTTTTCTCCCTTTTCTCTGCTTAGCCAATTCTTGTTCTTGTATGGTTTACACCTTGGCCAATTAAGTGGCACAAGAACGATTTTTTAGTGCGTAAGAGGCCACAAGCCTGCTTGACCTTGAAACATTTTGCTCTCAATTCAAAGGGAAACACAGAGATATGTAGTCAAGATGTTACACACTTTGTACTTTTGAATGCATTACAAGCTCAAACATTAATCGGCCTCCAAACTGACCTTCCCCTCCACAGGATACCGACGTAAGAGCTGTGGATCAGGAACACCCCTTTACCGACGGCCACTCGTCAGCTGCCTAGTTCTCTGGAAGCCTGGAAGCCCTTCAATCATATGGCTCGACCTACTGAGATGCTAATCACCTTGCAAGTGTTCCTTCCTTTATCTCCGATTTCACCATTGCACTGTGAAGGTAGTTTGTGTTTTCTGTTGGATAGATCTTTAATAATTTGATGACAGGTTATCTAAAAATTGCCTCTAATTGTAAGCAGCCTAGACACGCTTTATCTAACACCAGAGTATCACTAGATAATATTCATAATAATTTGTAATATGAACACAACCCAAACTGAACTGACATACAGCTGTTGCCACTCATTTTAAGACCAAAAAGTTATATTTTGGGATTTCTTTACAAGGTTATTTTTAACTCCTACGTAGTTCAGTGCTCTACTTCAAACAGTTGCCTGGCATGACTCAGGACTATGAAAGAAGCAGCAGCAGCCGCCAAGGGAAGGAATCCTTAAGTTCGCATAACCCCTGGATCATGAAATCATCCCAGTACCTACTGCCAGAATCACTTCATTTATTCTAACTTACATCTAGCCACAAACTCAATCTGCAAAACCTGTCAGGAGAAATACCTACATTTATACCTGTGCTAGTTTAATCTTGCAGAGACCTGGCCTTTACTTTCCATCTTGTGCCCCCACATTCAAGTAGAATGAGCAGACTTACTTATTCTGATTTAATCAGAGTTGACATTTCTCAGCAGCTCACAGTTGAGCATCTTCCAACTTAAATATTCTATTACTTTCAGCCGACTGCAAAACACCCTTAGGTGCTGCTGCTCTTGGTCCAACATTTCTAACAATTCATGAGTTAACTGACTTTCTCCTTGCAACCTACTTCTCTGTTACTGCTTCCACGCTTTCAATAACTTATCAAGCAATTATTTCTGCTCGTATGTGCTCATCTTTCTCCTTCACATTAGCTGCCCTTTTTCTCCAAGGAATCTTAGCAACAGCAGCCTCTATTGGTCAGGCTACATTGTGCATTCATATTCTTCCCAATGTAACTATGTGACCAAGCCCATCCCTAAGGGATTAAGTGGGTTACACTGTACCAGGCCAACATACTGTCTGCTCTACAGAAAATGAACACAAAAACAAAACACCAAGGAGAATGAACGATATAAAAAAAACCTTAAGGAATTCTTACAAGCCTTTTTGCTGGGAAGTTTTTATTCATCGTAAAACATTTATGTAAAATTCCAGTCCTAAGGAGCTGAAAGATCTGTTTCTCATGATTTATTACTAAACTGACACAAAATAAAATACAGCTTGAAATCCAAATACCTCATTTGACCCTCTGCAATTTTTTTCACCTATTTTCAACTTAAGGAAACTGATGGTTTGAGCACTCAAAAGCAAAACAAGGACTGCTAAAGCCTTTTTTTTTTTTTAACTACACACTCCCCATTTTTAACTTAACGGAAAAGGCTTTACTGAAATTAAGGCACCAAACAGAGCTCCATACAACCTGAAAGAAGACAGAGAAAAATAACAGTTCATTATAAATTCCACGTTGATACTGAAACACAGATGTAGTTGTACCATCCTTTGGTTAGGTTTCTCTAGAAATAAAATTGCCAGGAAAAAAAAGGTTTGGATTTATTTTGGGTATATCTGAGAACTAGCTCTCCCTCCACAGCCTGCCATTACAGCTCGTTACCTTACAAAAGTTACTAAAAAGCCACAAAAACATCCCCCAAAATACCCAACCACACATAATCACCCTTGCTCTAAAAAAAAGCAAGCACTGACAATTTCAGTGTTGTACAACACTTTAAAGACAAATAAAAAGCACATGCTCATTTAGCAGAGCTGTAAATTATTGTGGACAAGAAGAAAAGAAGGAAAACAACATGTAGGGTGGCAGACTGCATGACAGAGATCTGCAGACAAGCAAGTGTTTTAATTCCAAAACAAAATTTAGCCAAGGAGTTCCCTACTTGCCTACCCCACCCAAGTTAATAAAATTAAGTGCTCTCCGTGTATCCAGTTATATGTAACCTTGCTAGAAAAGCCACTAATATAGGTTTTTAAAACTAGTTTTCTTGCACTATTCTGTTATTCGTTCAATTATTTTGCAGAAGTTACATTTAACATGGAATACTTACACTGAAACTGCTCATTAACCACTCAGACGTAAGTCATTCAACAATCTTAACCTAATCTTTTTGGTTCTCCAGCCATCACCGCATCTAAGTTTGCATAGCCATCTGCCACGATTAGAAAAGCAACTGGCCGTTGCAGAGAAGAGCTAAATCAAGTCACTTGTTCAAAAAAGAAGAACTAAAAACTACATTGCTCAGGGTCCCCTTGGGAACACAGAGTCCTTCAGCAGACAGCAACAGGCAAAGGCAATAAAGAGACCATTTTCTTTTTTTTTTTTTCGGTTTGAAAGGTGTCGAGGGGACAGGTACGAAACCGAGTTTCACCCAAACAGATCAGAGATCTTTATTAGTGCCGAGGAAGCACTGTGGAGT